ATAGTAACTAGTGTGGTGTATTGGGTGTGATTTACATAGTTGTACACATACGTGCACAGTTGTTTGTGTGTGTATATATTTTCATGTAGATAGTTTCAACATGTTCTTTGAAGACTATTAAAAGACTACAAGTCTTTAAAGATTGTTTATTTTTTTCTATTCAACTGAAATGCCTCTCTTTGTGCAGTTAATCCTGTCCAGAGTCTTTTCAAAATATTTAAGGTTGTACTGATTATAAAGCAAAAAGTAAAAAGGTCTCACTTCAATAGTTAAAAACTCCCCCCCTCTTTTAATCTCTTCCCCTTATATTAAAGAATTGTCTTCCCCCTTTTTTTGGGGGGGCTTCAGTTGGATATTTTCAAAGTTATCTGGCTTTCCTCAGGATCTGCTCATGGTAATACTGAAAGTAAAACTAGTGTGTGGCCCTTCTCAATTGTATTTTAAGGTCAGATCCCTTTAACTGACCTTAACTGATTTGGAATGAATCAGGCAGGGGTTTGGTTTTTTTGAATAGAACTTTGATCTCTAATCCTATTTAAAATTGAAGCCTTTTATATATAAAATCAAGAAAATATGAACGAGTACTTTAGAATATTTTAAAGCTTTTTGTCTTGGAATAGTCTGAGAGCATAATAATATGTCATTTTAACTATTACCTGAAAAGGCTTCAGTCTGTTCCTCTTGACTTTTCAGCATTTCTCTATTTAGCTATATTAGGAAAGTTGGCTTGGCCATTTAGCACTTGGGCTGTGACCTTGGCCATTCCCCTGGAATGGTGGTGAAGGATTTCAAGTTACAGATTTCCGTGACAACTGCAGATTACTCCAAAGAGTTTTTCTCCACTTGTCAGATTAAAGAGGAGAAAAGTGACCAATCAGTATGTGTGAAACATAGAATGTGCAGTTTGTTGGGAAAGTTTGTCCATTTTTTACCCAGCTCTTTGGAGATAATTTAGTAGCTTTAAGTCGCCAAATGAGCAGGCCAGTGGGGCTGTCCTTTTGTTCATTCTAAACATCTTCAGGAGCATTTAGAGTTAAGTGGTTGTTTACTGAGACTCTGAAGGGGAAGAACTTGGAGGACCACTGTAAATTAATTGGCTGCCAGGGAAATTTGAATGTTGGTTTGGTTTTTTTTGTGGGTTTTTCCCCCCTTAGTTTTCAAGGACTTTGAATACCTTATTGCTCCACATTTTGGCAGATAAGTCTTTCATATCAAGAAATACAAGATAACCTGTCCAGTTGATAAGTTCTCTGAAGATTAACAGCTTGAGTAGGTTGGTGCATAAACCTCGCGTTACTTCCACTTAATTTCGATTGTCGGCAGGCAAGGTTGCATTTGCCAAGATTCTTCTGTGCTTAGAAGGGCCCACGCCAAATTATTGGGCTTTTTATTAAATACGACAGAGTGTGTGTGAAAAGATGGCTTTGCGTTATCCTGAGGAAGAACAGATCAAAACGGTATCCTGTTTGTTCTTTGCCATTCTCACAATCTCAGATGCTGAAGCCCATTGTAAGGGTCACTGTCAATCCTGGTTGTTGATGGTCTTGCTTTTTGCTTCTCTTTCACACACACACTCACACACACACACACCCAGTCTTTCTTACTTACTATCCAGTTTTTTTCCAGGGATTGGCATCTGCCAACACACTCAGCACGTGAAAACCAATCTCAACATCTTTACTTCTAAGAGCTCTCTGGTTTGTACTTTTCAAAGACAGATTTGCTTGTTCTTTCGGCAGCCCGTGTGATAGTCAATACTTCTTGTCACCACAGTTCAAAGATAACCAGTCATTCTTCACTCTTATTATTTATTGTCCAACTTTCAGATGCATGAGAGACAATGGAATCCCACGGATTGGAGCGACTACACCTTACTCCTGAATCTGACATCCTTGCTCTCTAGCAACTTGAGAGCAGATTTACCCAATGTAACATGCCAAGAGACATGTAGAGTGTATAGTGTTTGCTGATTTCAAAATCTACAGACTATAGTAGAATTTACAGTTGCTATTGCTTCAAACAAGTACCCTTTTGGTGTTTTTTTTTTTTTAATTTTAAACTGGAGAAATCTAAGAATATCAGATTTAGATTTAAAGCAGTTAAAACAATGTAGTTGGGAGATTTTAAGAGATTGTGTGTGTGTGTGTGTGTGTGTGTGTGTAAGTTTACATTATCACAACAGAAAGTCTTCAAAAAACCCCAGGCCCCACCACTGCCTTCAGGACTTGCCTGAAGTAGAATTCCAGCTCCGGGTGACCCTCCATTGGGTTTCCAAGGCTGTGAATATTTTTTTCCACACAGCAGTTCCCTCCTTCCAAACATAGATTTTTGCAACTGGATGGAGGAGCCTGTGGCTTCATCAGCCAGCATTCAGGGTGTAAAGAATCGGGGGTGATAACTTTAAGGTGTGACTGAAGCAGATCTAGAACTTAGGGTGTGTGAAGGGTTCTGTCACCCCAGTTGGTTACCAGTACCTGTTCATCTGCCATTGTGATTGCAACAAAGACAAGACAAGAGAGGGGTAGAAGACTGGCTTCAGGATCTTCTTTCTCTTTGATCTGCAGCCGTCCCCCAAATCATTTCAGGTGAAAGATCTTTTCTTCAGAACTAGGAGAATTTTTTTTTCTGTCTCACAAAGACTTCTGGCCATCTGAGTCCATACTTCCTGGTTCTTGGAGGAAAGTTCTCCTGTTACTTGAATTATGAGAGATGCGCTTGGGGTCAACGAACGAATTCAGGGAGTTGGGACTTGTTTACAGACTGCTCTTTCCCATACTTGCCACGCTGAGTGGCAAGACTTGGTGTTATCGTTTTCTAGGTGTGAGATTAACTTGCACGCGGTGACCTCAGAGCTCCCCAGTGGCACCCGGCTTTCACCTGGCAGCCGGTTGATGTGGGTGGTGGACGGAAGGAGAACGAACGGTGGATAGGAGGAGAGGCTTCGTTTCCTGATTGAGTTAACAACACGGGGAAATTCTGTCGTGAGGGCTTAAAAGTCGATCTCGACTCAACAGTTGTTCACCTACCACCGTGTCTGGGGCAGGGCGTCCCTTCCCACCAAAGAAAGTAGAGTGTTTGCAAACAATCGTGGGGATCTAGGCAAGGCCCTGACTGTTGTTCTCTGGACCATTCACAGAGGTCTTGTCTTTCCTGAGTGAGATCTTGGAAAAGGTTTTCCTTCAGATTTTTTTGTGTTTAGGAAGTTGCCCCAGTGTGTGTGATCTCTGGATTCCCAGTGTTCTTTGTATTTATTTAAAGTAATTGGAAGTTCTTGCTTTCTGCGTTTTATGTCCTGGAAGTTCTTGCTTTCTACGTTTTATGTCCTGTGCTTTGATTCTGTCATCTTACTTTTCACATCTTTTTGATCTGTAGATTTGTGGAGGCTGCTAGATTGAGAGACCTGGTAGGGGAACAGGAGAATGGTATGTTTTCTCCTCAAGTGAATGGATAATTTCAAATCTAATCATTAAAGATACGTTACTACTTTTCAGAATTGCAAACCCGTGAGGCTTGTGGTCATCTGACTGAAAGCATGGAAGACTTTTATCAGTTAAATTTCCAATCAGAGGTGATCATTTTTGTTTTAAATTTATTTCTTCAATTCTTTGCTTTTTTTAATAAATTTTTTTAATTGTCATTTTAAAAATTTACAGAAAAGTTAGATTTCCATTTGTTGATTGTTGCACATTCTACCCTCTCTCCCTCCCTTCCCCCTCTCCAAGTTGACTTTTTTCTTTTCATGAGTTTATTTACAAAGTTCTAATAAAAATTTGAATAAATTCTTCCCATTTCCCTCACCCCACCACCCCATCAAACTGTACAACCCATTGATTAATCCCCTTCCCCCTGTACAAACACATTCTTCTGCTTCCAGCCTCTCCCACCCCTCCTGGATCCTTATACTCATTCTACAATAGCAATCTTATACTTGTGGGATGGAGTTAGTTCACTCAGCATAATGCTTTCCAGTCCCTCCCAAGTAAGGTAATAATTTACAGAGTTATTGCTCCTGTGTGCTGCATAGTATTCCACTGTGTGAATGTACCATCATTTCTCAGTCCATTCGTTTGTGGTTGGATGTTTGGGCTGTTTCCATGTTCTTGTGCTAGTGAATAATGCTGCTATGAACATTGGTGTACAAATCTCAGTTTGTGCCTCAGTTCTTGTAGTCTCAGGGTATATTCTAAGTAGCTGGGTCATATGGAATTTCTTTGTTCCGCTTTTTGAGGAAGCGCCAAACTGCCTTTCAGAATGGTTGCACCGTTTTACAATCAGGGGTGGTCATTTTTATACCGATGGTTTCCAAGGTTTTCTTTAGGTGGGCAGAGCACCTCAACTCTCCTGAGGAAGCAGGTGTTGGTTTGCAGCCAGTTACTGCAACCAGGGTGCCACCGGGGCCCGTTCTTAAACCTGCCACGCTGTAGTTGGTTTCTGTCCTGAAACATAAGCATTCGCCTTGGATCAGGAAAGCTCCGTGCCTGTACGTTTCTCAGAGTTAGTGATGTCACGAGTGGCCGGTGGCATAAAGTTCTGGGGGTTTGGCAGACGTGCTTGTGAGGAGGTGATAGGCAGTTGGATGGTGGTACCTTCTCGGTCCAGGCGGAAGATGAATGACTAACTGTGAATGATGGATTTGGTCTCTTTAAAGCGCTGACCCCCCTCTGCTTTCTCCTCCAGGTTTTGGAAACCCCTTGTCTGAAGGTTCCTAGGATTAGCATCTCATTGAGCTGCGTCCCAAGTTCCTTGGACAAGGCGAGAACTTGCGCCAGGTGCTGACCGACCCTAGTGGGTGAGCAGGCCCACTGACCGCCACCCTGTCGTCGAGTCCCAGAGCTGAGGGCACCCTCTGCTCTCCTGCCTTTTGAACTCTGATAAGCCACGCTGACCCTCATCTCAAAGCCTCCCCCCGTCACGTCTCCTAAGTGGCCTTAATTCTTCAAGCCTCGCGGTGGACGCTGCCAGCTCTCGTCTGCTCGGCTGTCCCCTCATCGCCTGTGACCATGCCCACCCAGTCTCTCCTCATGTACATGGATGGGCATGAAGTGCACGGCAACGCCCTGGGCGCCCAGATGGAGGTGGAGGATGGCCTGGCCGTCAAGGGGGCCACCGCCATCCCCTTCCGAGCCACCCCGGAGCGGGGCCCCCCGCACGTGGACAGCGTGCTGGCCCTGGCCCTCGACTGCATGTTCTGCAGCCAGAGCTTCCTGCGCTCCGAGGAGCTCAACCAGCACGTGCTGGTGCAGCACCAGCCCACCGTGTGCGAGCCGGCCGTGCTGCGCGTCGAGGCCCAGTACCTCAGCCCCCTGGACAAGCGGCGTGAGCACGCCGAGGCCCCCCCGGAGCAGAGCGGCCCCGAGAGCGAGGACCTGAGCTGTGCCGTGTGCGGCCAGGCGTTCGGCAGGGCCTTGGACCTGGACGTGCACATGAAGAGGCACAAGGACTCCTTCACCTACTGGTGCCACGTGTGTGGCCGCCGCTTCAAGGAGCCCTGGTTCCTGAAAAACCACATGCGGACACACTCGGGGAAGACGGGGGCCCGGGGCAAGCTGCAGCCCGGCCTGGACGGCCCGGCCACCATCAACGAGGTGGTGGTGCAGGAGGCGGCGGTGGCCGACGGCAGCGCCTCGTCCCCGTATAAGATCTGCATGGTGTGCGGCTTCTTCTTTCCAGATAAGGAGAGTCTCATGGAGCACAGCCGAGTGCACGCCAAGGAGAGCCCCTCGGCTGCCGACTGGCCGCCGGCCGAGGACCAGGGGCTCTCCCAGGCCCAGTTCCTGCAGCTCCACAACCTGAGACCCTCGGCCAGCTCAGAGGTCACCAAGAAGCCGGCCAAGTGGATCCCGCAGCTCGACTCCTTCACCACCTACCAGGCCTGGCAGCTGGCCACCAAGGGCAAGGTGGCCATGTGCCTCGGGGACATCAAGGAGCCCGGGCAGGAAGGAAGCACGGATAACGACGACTCGAGTTCCGATAAGGAAGAGCTGGGCGAGATCTGGAGCGCCACCAAGAACCATCCGGAAGGTTCTGGAAAGTCCAAGACGAGTAAAGGCGGCTGTGCAGGCCTGTCCCAAGAGAAGGCCAGAGCAGGTGAAGCATCGGCGGCGGCGGCGGCAGGGGGAGACGCAGACCCCAAACTCTCTGCCAACAAAGAGAAGCCCACCCACTGTGCCGAGTGCGGGAAGGCCTTCAGGACCTACCACCAGCTCGTCCTACACTCCCGGGTGCACAAGAAGGACAGACGGCCGGACGCTGAGCTGCCCCCCATGGCCGGGGACAGCCGCCAGCCGCAAACAGGTTCCCCAGAATTGGCCGCCCCTGTTGTCATCGTGGAAAACGGAGCAGCGGACGGAGGCGAAGGTGGCTCGGAAGACAGCTCTGAGGACGGGCTCAGCGAGGGGCTCCACTTGGGTAAGTGTCACCAGGGGTTTTGCGGGGGGGGACATTGACCAGAAGGGGAGTCGCCCCTGCTGGTCTACGTGGGGTTGCCTCTCTGATAACAGGGTGGCCTTAAAAAGTATCCCGAGATTTCTTTGCGTTTGAAAATGCCTTGATTTGATGCCCTGCTAACAAAGGCTCTGTGGGTTTACATGTCAGCCTCGAGCAGGGGTTCTCAGCAGCCTGCCTTTTATCCCCAGGGGACATGTCTGAGTGTCACAGTGAGGGGAGGAAGCGTGGGGGGAGGGAAAAGCTTACGCATCCTCGGGAGAGGGAGACCCTCAGTCTTGCCAACCTTCCCTGTCCTTCCCATGAAGACATGCCATCCTCATGGCCACACACATCCCTTTCTGGCAAGACCCACTTATCCTGTGATTCTCCCACCTGCCTGTCGAGACTGTTGGCAGGAATCAGGGTAGCTTGAGCTTGTCCAAGGGCGGTCTCTGCGATAGGGCCACCGAGGGCTTGTGGCTTGTGTCTGTCGAGTGTTGACTTGGCTTTGATCCTAGACAGAAGGATTCTGCTGCTTCAAGACAGCTTAAAATCCATTCACTGAGGAGCGGGGAGACTGTGACCCGGTCCTTTCCGTATTACCTCTGGTTGAGAAGTTCAGTGTCCACCCTGGAAGTAACACATTGAGTAACCTGGAGCTCTTGTGTGTGTAGATTCTGATCTGTTTCTTTGTAATAGTGGGGTAACTTCTCATGGGGATAGAGTGGGTTTCTCAAAAAATTTCAGTTCATGGTCCTAATCAAAGACCAAGTCACGGTGCCACTGTTTTGTTTTGTTTTTTGTTTGTTTTTAATTTTATTACTTTTGTGTGTGTACCGTCAAATCAGATCTGACTGGTACAGGAGGAGATTGTCCCCCCTTCTCAGCAGAGCATCTGGTGGATTCGAACCGCATGCCTCTGGGATTGCAGTGCAGCTTCTTGCCACTAGGCCACCAGAGCCTCCCTAGTGCCACTGTTTTGTTTGTCTACCCAGAGCCCTGTGTCCCAGGCCCAAGATCAGCCTGACAACATAGCTTTTACTGTTGTTATTATTATTACTCCATTGGTAAGCAACAAGGTTGGTGTAAGACATTGGCTGAAATATCTTTTGATGACTGGATGTTTCATGAACACTAGAAACCCAGCAGATAGTGTAGCTCAGACTCTCAGTTGTTAAAAAGAGACCTAGAGAACATATTACGCTGTCTAAATGATGTCATATATGCGCTGTGACGTTGGGGTGATGGTCTGGTAAGGTCACGGTGCTCTAGTGTCCTCAGAAATGCAGAGGCCACTTTTCAGTGGGCACTGTGGACGGAAGGACAGAGTAGAACCAACCCCTCGAAGCACCATCCAGGAGATAGAAGACTTAGAATGGGATGGGTGTGCTGGGCTTCTCCATCCTCTTGTTACTATCTGTGACCAAGCACTGTTTCTTGTACCAGTTGCACGTTGCATCAGCCTGTCTTTGCCCCCATTTCTCTTTGCCAAGTTTGCTTGTGGACCCCTTGCTTCTAAGGAGTCATTTCAGCAGCGTGAAGGGGTGGTGGGGCCAGCCAGGTAGCATCGCATATGCAGCAGGAACCGGAGCGATGGAGATAGTGCACGTCCTGTGTTTTCAAACGAAGACACGGCATCACTCTGAAAGTGGCACCACCCTCCCTCGGTCCTGACATGTGGTTGGGAGTCGGTCCAGACTCACCTAGTTGGGAGTGATTGTGTGACCCTTGAGTGACACTGTCTACAGGAAGGGAATTCATTTGGAGACATTTCCGTCCTGACACTCTCAGACCCTCCTGTTTAGATTTTCTTTAATGGAGATCAAACGACACGGAAGAAAACGGTGTGGGGTTTTCTTTTCTCCCCAAGTCTTCAGGAGAGCTTTTAGATCAAGGCTGTTTGTGTTGCAACAAGTGAATGTTTTCCTTCGAGGAGTTAAGAGGTCAAGGGTTAGAGCCTGTGTCCTTTGTAACCTGGAGGTTGGCCAGGGTCTGCTTGCCCATACCCATGGAAGGTGGGGAAGATCAGATTTTCAAGGGAGCATGTAAGTGTCTCGAAAGATGGCCTGTAATCCCATTCACAGCCTGGGAAGCTCAGAGGAGGGAGCTTTGATCTGCTTCTGACTCAACAGAGTTTGCATTTTGAGTTCTAACAGGTTTTTAAGTCAAAACAACATGATGAAGTTGAATTTTCAGAGATGACCAGATTTTGATTGTACTTAACCCTGTGGCAGTTTGATGCACTTTTAACAAAAGGGACCTTTATCTATATCTAAAATACTCATCTTGAGGAGACTTGAGGTTGCTTGCCAAAACTTGCCTCGAATTTGAGAAACTTTCCTAGGTGTTGGCCCCAAGACTTCTGATTTTTGTTAGATTTTGACGCCCCCTGGTGGTCACTCGCGTGACCACTTGCCCTCCCTGGGTTGGAGGAGTGTGGATTTCTTGAAGGGAGCTGGCCATCCCGTCCACTGCTGGACTGTCCCCGTCCAACCTCAGCCCCAAGTGCCTTGGCCACGTGGTCTGGCCTGGCAAATGATTTTCCTTGTGATTAAACCAACAAGGAACTATGCCTTAACAGTCACAAACTCAGCTGCACCCAGAAAAAAGGCAAAGGCTGCTAACACCCGTGGCCACGCTTCAGTCTTGGCATTGGGTGTTTACTGCACACACAACGCGCATTCTTTATGCTTCCAGGAAAGGGTTCTGCCCAGAATATTTTATCTTTTGCATTTTAAAGTCACATGCCTTAAGCCACTGGCTGTTATTAATTTTTTTTTTTAAACTTTTTAATGCCGACTTCGTTTTTATTGTCACCAAGCTTTCATAGCGGTTACTGGTCACTCCCCTTTGTGCCCACCGCTGCCCAAGAGGCAGTGCGACCATTGGTAACCCACACAGTGGGTCCCTCGCGCCGGGTGCTCGAGAAATGATGACTCAGCCTCCTCTTATTTCTCTTCTCAAGATAAAAGCGATGATGGAGGAAAAATGAAGCATCTCACATCCTCAAGAGAGTGCAGTTATTGTGGGAAATTTTTCCGTTCCAATTATTACCTCAACATTCACCTCCGAACACATACAGGTGAGACCGTCTCTGACACGCACTGGCGATGCTCTGCTTTGACCACTTGTTGTTGGTCTGTTCAGCTGGGCCCTTGGACTGGCTCGGGAAGAAATCCTGAACAGGATGACAGATGACAGTGCTCCTTCTCGTTTGTTGTCACTGCAGCTCCCACTGTTGTAGTTTATCGAAGAAGGACAACTCCCTGGCTTTGGGCTTGTCAAATCCTGACCCACAGCTTGATCCAGCCTTTACTGATAGGTCATAATGCCACAGCTTCCCCCCCTCCCTTCCCAGATTAAATTTTAATCACATGAAGGGAGTTGCCTTGCTGTGGTCTTTAGAACTGGGTGTAGTGTCATTAGATCTGGGTCTAGGTTTAGATGATCAAAGCAGCTGTAGTGCGTGAGGTGTGGCTGCCTCCTCTGACAGGAACATCAGCCCTGCCCCTCAGTTAGCTGTGTAACTCATGGCTGTGGCTCTGTGCTTTTAGCTAGACATTCTTATTATTTTTATTTATCATAAACAATAAAATAATAAACAGGTTCATCCTGGAGAGGGTGAAGCCAGGCTGCTCCTTGGAGGCAAGGATTCTGAAGCTTCGTCTGACATACTTTGGACATGTTGTAGGGCAGGATCAGTCCTTGGAGAGGGACGTCATGCTTGGGAGGGTGGAGGGACAGAGCAGGAGAGGAAGACCCTCAGTGAGATAGATTGATTCTGTCACTGGGGGGTCATGGGGCTAGGTGTGTCAGAGACAGTGAGATTGGCACAGGCTAGAGCAGGGTTTAGTGCTCTTGTACTTAGGGTTGCTGTGAGTTGCAGGTGGCTTGAGGGCACAGAACAACAATAAATGACAGTAATGATGGGTGTAAATAATAGTGCTCATTTACCTGAGATTTTGTTATGTTTGGTTTTCTTTTTTTAAATGAAGAGATGATATGAGCACAGTTTACCAGGCAGCTCGTGTTTTTTATTCTTTGTGTGTGAGGGGTTTGTATGCAAGTTTGCAGGCTAGTAGAGTGATGGGAGACAAGAGAGAAGAGCTGTGTACCATGGAGGATGTGGGAAGAGGAAAGGATCCCAGGCTCTTGTCTGTAGAGCATCTCCTTGGGTGAGCTGTGGACCCTGTAACACTCTGCCCTTCCTGTCGCAGGTGAGAAGCCGTACAAATGTGAATTCTGTGACTATGCTGCAGCGCAGAAGACTTCCCTTCGCTACCACCTGGAGAGACACCACAAAGACCATCAGGTGGAAGCCCCCGCCGCCGCTGACCCCAAGCCGGACAGTAGGGCCCCGGAGCCGGACGACATGGTGCCCATGCTCCCCGCCGCCAACAGCGGGCAGACCAAAAATTTGAAGAGGTTTTACGACGGTGCCAAAGAAGCCATTGGCAGCTCGCCTGCCAAGCAGCTGAAGGAGATGCCTTCTGCCCCACAGAGCGTCCTCTTTTCCCCTCCCAGAGATACTCAGGATTTCCAGAAAAACCCCTCGAGTGGCAGTGATGACAAGGTGACCCCGCCTACCGGTCCCACCTACCTGGACGTGCTGAGAAAGAGGGTGATGGCTGAGCCCCTGGCACACCACCTCCCGGACGCTGCCACCCGTCCTGCCACCAGTGCCGCCCTCCACAGGGACACTCAGCTGGCCACCAGTGCCGCCCTCCACGGAGATGCCAGTCTCAGACAGAAGACAGCACAGTATGAGGGGCACCACCCAGATGGCCAGCCCCAGGCCACCCCAGACTGTCAGGAGAGGCCTTTGAATCTGTCTATGTACACCATGTCCAGCTACCGGGCCGTTTCCCTGGGCAGAAACCTGATCTCCAGCATCACCTGTCCCTTCTGTACCTTCAAGACCTTCTACCCGGAGGTCTTGATGATGCACCAGCGTCTGGAGCACAAATACAACCCCGACTTCCACAAGAACGGCCGGAGCAAAGCCCTCCTGCGGAACCGGAGGACCGGCTGCCCGCCCGCCCTGCTGGGCAAGGACGTGATCCCCTTGGCCGGCACCTCCAAAGCCAAGGCCAAGGCTGCCTTCCCTGCCCAGGCCAAGGCCTCACCGTCAGAGAAGATGAAACCGGGCCCCCCAGCTCCAGTCCCCCCAGCTCCGGGCAAAGTACCCCTGGCCCCAGGACCTGACGCCAGCACTTTAGCGCCCAGTAACCTCAAGTCCCACCGGCCTCCAGCGGGTGCCACCCCCACCAGACAGCCACAGTCAGAGCCCTTCTCCAGGACCATCGTCCCCACCATGCCCGACAAGACCACAAGACCCGATGGCAAGCCAAGAGCTCCTCAGGGTGCCCCGGGCGGCAGCCGCTTCCACAACTCCTCAGACCAGCCAGCAAAGGGCGAAGGCCCCTGGGCCACTCCGGCCAGAGACGTTTATCCTGCCCGGAGCAGCAGCAGCTTGGAATTTGGGGAGCTGCTCCCCAAAAGACTGAAGGCCAGTGTGGTGGTTCTGGACAGTGACCAGCCGGTCCCCACTTACCCCCTTCGGAGAAGATGTGACCTCCCCAAGTGCCACTTCCCAGAGTTCACCAGCCTCCTGTCCCCGGAGTTCCGCCCCCAGGCGTCATCAGTATTGTCCCCCAGACCCAGGTTCTTGGCTGCCAGCGATAGTGATTCACCCAGTGTGCTGAGCGCCCAGAAGCCCTACGGAGCCTCCGCACCCCTGTACTCCGCCTGTGGCCCTGCTAGTAGCCAGCCGGCGAGCGGCACGCTGGATGGTACGTTGTGACTTCTGTTGCTCTGGGGCCGAGATCACCTAACAGCTTCCGTGTGTGTTTGGGGGCGTGGGGAGCATATGTGTGGTTGATAGTATCCCCAAGGGGAGAAATCATTTCCTAAATAGAACTGTGGTCATGATCTCTACCCCCCAAAAGATTAAAATCCATTGCTGGAGGCCTATTAAGTAAGCCGAGTGTGTTAATCCACCACCGGCCCTGAGGCAGGAAGGCCTGAATCCTAAAGGGGGCAGCCCCGCTCTGTCCTGTAGAGGCGTCCTTTGTAGGGAGGTCTTACCCCGTGGAGGCCTACGGCCTAGGGGCGCTTTCCATGTTCCAGTGGCCTTGATAGCAGCAAATTGTCCCTGGCATCAGGGATTTTGGAAATCAGCCCCTTACTAAAGCCATCCACATTGTTCACCTCCGCCCTTGAACTCACTGTACGTGCCTTTTCCAATCAGGAAAAAGGCCCGTGTCATATCAACACTTATCCAGCAGCATGCTACAAAAGAGAAATTATGAGAATGCACATTACCGACCAAATGACAAAAAAACTTGATTTCCTCTTTTGGGGGGAAGAAGGTAAGCAGATGTTTTCATTAACTAGAACGTATCGCTTTCACTTGATTGAGAAGAAGCCAGGCTGGTGGGCTTCATATGATGGAGTAACAGGATTTTGTTGTCGTTTTTCTGAGCACGAGCTGAAATTTGGATGCACCCCCATCTCTCAAGTCCAGCTGTGATAATCGGGGTTCCGGTAGTAACCGTAACAGTTGGACTTTCTGAAGCATCAAACTGGGGTTTATGAGGCTGATATCATTTGATTTTGGTCACCCTGGAGGATTTAGTTAGACATGTAAACTACTCTTCAACTG